TTTTGTGTGGGCTCCGGCAACCAACATACGATCGAGAAATTCTAGATCTGACGACAGAATTTGGTGGCGTCCTCGGCGGCTTTTGGCGGTGGCTATTTGTCGCGTTGGTGGCGATCGACGACGGAATTCAGTTAAGCGCGCCGCAATGATCGGCACGGTCCGTCCTGCCCTCTGACGTCACCTGACCTTAAGCGCGGTCATTGCCATCAACCGCCCTTGTCACGGACAAACAGCAAGCGCCTGAAGCGACTCGAACCCACACGCCCAAATTGGTGGGCCGCAAGGCAAATGCTCTATCCAACTGAGCGATTGGGACACAGTTGACCATTGCCGTGAGCACGTGTACGAGAGTTGGTATTTCAGCTTGCTGAAACGAGTTTCTGCGACTCTCCTTTCTACCAGTTTTTATCGGCTAAAACGGATGTAAGCTTATAAAAACACCTATTTAGCCTTTTCCATGTCGAAAACGCGGTTTATGTCCGCCCCCTCCCCCGGTATATTTTACGCGCCATTCGACAGCGCCTTGAGATATTGCTCTCATGAGTCTTCTCCCTGTTTGTTGTTGATGGATGTTGCATGGTTAACATGGATGTGCATTGATCGTGGCACGGATGGAACAGAATAAGGCAAGCCACTTTCGATCTTGCCGGGGCGGTGAAAAGAAGAGACTGACATCCAAACCTCGTCAGCCATCATGTGCTTTTCTTATAAATTTGAGGCGGGCCTTGGGCGCTCTTCCAGCGATCTCTTGCCGGGCTTTCTCTCTGCGACAGAGCGCACCTTGCCAGACGGTGTATCCGGCGTATATCTCATTATGGCCATGTACATCAAGGTGACAGATGGCACAAAGGCTGTGAGGTCAGCAGAACGGCTACTTTATGACGGTCATGGTGTTCCTACTCAAACACGTCTTCACAGAGTCTCCACATGCTAATTCATAGCACAAAAGCTTGCATCTGTTTAACTGATCAGCCCGAACCGGTGCGTCTTTTGTGCGCTTTCATCACGTAGCTGTTGGCAAAATGCGCTTTGACACTGTCCTCCACACAATTTAGTCTGCCGGTCCCTGATGTGAAGAAGTGTCCTATTTTGACAGAAAGTCTCCTTTGTGATTGCGCAGACCACCGGGTATCAGAATTTGGTCGGTGAATGTGCGCTGAAGACTTGCGTGTGAAAGCCCGATTCAGCGACTAACTTAGACCACCACAAACATTTTGACATTAATCGGTCGCAAAAGTGCCATTTGGAATCAGGACAAAGTCATCTTTGTAGTCATTGAGAGCCTCGATTTGACATGGAGAAGGACCTTTTGGAATGAATTCACCATCACAGAGTTGTTTTTCGCTGCGTCGGAGGAAAAGCAATTGCAAGGCTCGAGGGTTTGGCCAATGCCGTAAGCCATGCACTATGGATAGGTTTACGGCACTCTGCGCACTTAACAATAAAGCATGGTGTAGCATCTGTGGGTGGTGGTTCTGGAAGTGACGACGTGCGCTGCGCGGCTGTCTGGCCGCCCCTGGATGTTAAGCGCCGCCGGCTGCTGCCGTCACGCCTCCCCACACGAGCGAACTTATAAAGAGGAGCCCAGTGGTCAGCATACGAGCCAGATGATGCTAGCGCACGACTCGGCACGTGGTGACTCCGGTACACCCGACATCAACACACACTCATTTGAGTCACAAAGCTAGGATGAAGCGGATGACCGGGGCACCGGCGAGATGGTAGATCCAGTCAAGCACCATGGACGGCTGTCTTCCCGTGCATGGCTGTGCGCCCTTAACCACGGCATACCACCTCCACCTTTGCAGCTTATGATAATGTTTGAACGGGGCAGCGGAACCGGATGCGCCGAAAGTGCGCTCACCTGGCAAGGGTCCCACGCCACTGGCGAATTACATTGGCAAGGGCCCGCTGTGTAACAACCATGGACACCCCGTCGGCCTTAACTTATCCACGCAGACTCCACGCATTCGGCGCCCCACCACACTCACTCCAAGCATGCACATACGCTGGCGCCCACTTCAACCCACTCATTCTTGGCTGGCACGCGGATGCCCCTCCCCCCCTTTCATCCAGCGCCTTGGCATTATTGGCTGGCCTGCGTGAGTCCTCGTCAAGCCAGCGAACTTTTTTATCGCACATCAAACATTCCATAAAGCCACGCTTAAGCCCTGCTTAAAATGTATCGTGTTAATTCATCAGCTCGGCACAGACGCCGCCGCTGGGCCGACGTCAGGCGTCCGAAGCTGGCCGACGACTCGCTCCCGCGTCTGACCTCCAGGATGAAGGCTCCCTGTTCAGACGTCGCTCCCCGCGCTCCGTCCACGGTGGGCGGCCCACCATTCCTTCGGTCACGCCCACCGCTCGCAGCTTTCCGCTGCTGCGCAGCACAGTGTCTCGGGGTCGGTTCCAACAACGAAACCAAGATAGCCTCGGCGCGGGTTGACGGGCGAGCTGTCGCGCCGAGACGCATGTTAACAGCCTCAGTCACCATTCCCACTCACGCCGGGCGCGAGTACCCTGTCGCCGCCTGACCAAATAACTCCAGGCTCGCTTCCACACTGAACCATTTAAAATGCAGACTGCTACTTGTATTTACAAAATCACTACGACAGACGAACCACGTGACACGTCACGCTCCCCCTCCTTAACTATGGGAGCGGGCCCGAAACACATTGGCCATCCGGGAGGGTTCCGTGGCCAGTGCCCCCCCCCCCCCTCCCCTTCCCTAACTGCACGGGAGAGAACAGGAGGCCGTGGCCCACGCCCGCCCGGTAGGGAGGGCTCAGGGGACACAGGAGCGCCAGCCGTCCATGGCCCGGTGAGGGTGGGGATAGCCTGTGGGCTTACGCGTGCATGTTGTCGCCGGTGTCACGTTGTCCGCAAAGCCAGATATCGCCGCCTGGTTGTCACCACCACTTCTCCTCCACGCTCCTAGTTCCTCGTTCCTCGGAACTCCCCGGGAGACTCCATCCTCAAGCCCCTCTCCTGGACTCTCCTAAAGGATTCCCCCACCTTTCACGGACTCTCAACCTTGACTTCCAGAAGAGGCCACCGTCATGGCCGTTACGGGGAAAACGGCGGCTTTCCCCACCTGGCCGGGCCACTCACACCGTTTTCCTCGCGGATCCGGTCAACAAATATGGGCCGACCGGCAGCAGCGCCGGACTCTCAGGTCCCGCTCGGTCCTATGGTCGTGTTCGGTTAGGCGGGGGGAATTCCTGGCCATGGCCGGCTTGCTCGCCGTCGTACGCTCCGCTGGAGAAGCCCCACCGATCCCCGAAGAGTGACGCGCGAAGCGGAATGTAAGAAAATGTATGCACGCACATCCCGCATTACAAAAGAGGATGTATTAGCAGGCACCGACCAGAACGTCGTCCCTCTCGCTAAGCATCATTTTCAGCGTCTTGGAAACTATTTTGCAATAAAACCACAAAATCATGGCTGGCCAAGCTCGATATGGCGCTACCCAGGGGTTTTGCATGTTCATCCTCCTGTCAACGGTGTGGCGTCACAAAATAAGTTATGTGCTGAGCAAGGAAAAATGCCCACACCTACCATCAAAATACACAAGAACGCGTTCCTCCCTGTAATTTATTCAGTTTACCCTCAAAGTTGTGATGTGGGGTACGGAGCTCACTTCCACTTTAATAGAAGGCTACAAACTGCCCAGTTGTATCATTTTACCAGGCTGCACCTGTCAGCAGCAAGCCCTCGCTTCCCAGGCACCTAACACCGCTCTGAACACCCCGAAAAGGTGCTGACAGTCTAATCGCGGGGATAATTACTGCATTGGAGCGCAATATGCTCTGAACTGCCCATAGGACACTCGCTGAGGCGAATCAGATCTTCATAAGTTAACGATCTCACGAGAGAAGCCAGCTGAAGTCTTGGGCTTCGATGCTGTGTGCCAACGTACATTTGTACCTATATTGTATTCAATGTACCTCCCTACTGCTAGCAAAAATGCGGCGCTAGTTCGGTAGCTGACACAAGAGGAGATCCAGTTTAGGAATTATTTTCGTCACGTTCTAGTAGTTTATATATTTTCTGATGTATCCTAAAACAAGCCTTTCTTGTGCACTCCATTTTTCCCTTGATGCGCTCTTTATCAAGACACCTCCGCCGCCCTGATCGGTCCCTTATCATTACGATTTGTGAATCAGACACATCAGAGGAGTGCGTCCGGGCAGCGCCAAAAATGAGCTTACATGAGCATGTCATTGCACCATCCAGTCCATGTCCACCACCTGCTTCAACCCACCAGCCAAGCAAGATTGTGTTCCATGCATTATTGTTACAAGAAATACACAAAATTGTAAGCGTAGATCATGGTTCCCACAAATACTGTTGAACATGCCAAGTCACTGATCCCATTTCAAACATTAAGTTCCGATGCTTTTAGAACTGCTATCGATAAACGTCTAATCAAAAGGCATTTTTGAATTATGAAACGGAATAAATGCGCACGGTTTGACCTGCTGATATCAAAACCAGGTCACGAGATCACTGGCGGAAAGCTCGATGTTTGGGTTATGCCGAGATTTGAGGTTGACCGCTGATTCCTGCTGATTATGCTTATGTCCAATTGGGGTGCTTTTTCTGGCATTGCTAGTGGTGTTCAGTCTTTTTTGCTGTCTGGAAGCCATTATCCCAAAAATAGCACGATCTGTATCAGTTGTCCTACTGACTTATGCCAAAAATGTAACTGGCATCTAAAATGTAACTGGTATCTAAGGAACCAAGTGAACCATATAGGTCAAAAATCGTGTGAATGCCGGGAATGAGTGTCGTGCTACGGACGGTTTGTCCTGGTATCTTCCATTTATTGAGGTAACAATACTCCAGCCATTGACACTGCAAGATCGCAGGCTATTTGGGAAAGGCAGCCAAAGATCGGCGTGGGCGTGCATTCCAATTATAAACATATTCGCAACTGCAAGACAGAATAAAGTAGCACGGTCCCGGAAGTTGTTGCACGGCACTTAGAGGGCACTTACTGAGCTCGACGCCGACTATAATGAGGATAGCTAAGCTGGCAGCGACGGCCAGGATGAAGATCACCGCCTTCGCGTTGCTCGTCCGGTCCGTTATCCTGCCGGCCGGAATGCGCTCATCAGGCGAACCAAGATCTTGGCCCGCTGCCCCGGTCCAAGCCATCAGTGATCCGAGACATTTGAAGACCATCCACGATCCACGCGATAACAATCTATCTCGTGATCCAAGACTTCAAGACCGTGGCACCAGGTCAAGTCACCCAGGAACATGAGCAGCACTTTCCACCACCGGAAACGCCGCTAAGCAAGGTAGCATTTATGATCTTGTTGATGTTGAAGTTTCTGCACCGTGCGATGGGCTGTAGACGATAAGACGATGTGCAGGTGATATCAGAACATGATATGCCCTTCGAAAGCTTGAGCGCAACTGCTTGACATGGAAGTATTGATTTGGTCCAATTCCATGCTCAATGATAACAGGATATTGAGCTGTGGAGTAAAGCTATGATTAGTCAATCACCCGTGACACATTTATATTTTTTTGTACTTCATTCTTAAGCGTCACTTGGTAAGTGCCCAGATAATTATGTGAAATGGATGAAAAACTCAAATTGCACGAAAGCATGATAACGAAATTCGGAACCGTTGAGTGGATACACTGGGCTAAGAATTCATCACCTGTATTTCCTCGCCATCCTTTACCCTGAGCAAGGACGCACGTTAATTCGAATTATGAAACCGACGCGGCCGTAGATCTGGCAAGGCTCTGACACCTTCGCGGCTCTTACATTAGGCTCTTACATCTTCGCAGCCACTGATCGCAAGATGACGCCCCTCTCACCAACAAAAAGCACTATCCTTGAAAAGCTGTGCCATATATATTGCCAGGAAATCTCATGCACACTGATCAGGCATGCTTCTCCTCCGACATTGCGTATCACCACGAACCCCCTCCCCCCACTGCTGTTCGGTTGACATGGATAAAGAAAAAATTAACTAGAGGAGAAAACGCTGAAGAACACAGCGGGTCGAAGCCGGGTTCAGGGGTGTGTTCTCAGCGACCTGGACGACAGATTTTACGTGAGGTCACGTATAATTTTTGCCGGATGCGCAGAATCCCTTTCCGACATTTGATCGAATTGAGACATACATGGCGCAGCAAGCTCATTTATATATAGTGAATTCTCGTGCCCAGGGCCGACGGCGGGTAAAGAAAATATGTGTTGTGCATGGCGAGTAGCATCATTTGTACTTTGCATTGCTAGTGGCACGCTCAGTGCGCGCAAGCGTAAATGCTATTGTCTCGGCTGCGCACCTATCGTCACGAAAATTACGAAGACGTTAACAGAAAACGTACCGCGCTGCGAACGCAAAGACTTTACATGACATCACGTGGAGAGGAATATTATTGGAGCGCTGCGAAAACCCCCCATATATCGGCGACCTGGCACTGCAGCGGCACGAAACTGGAACATACCGGCGGGAGAGAAAATGAACAATCGTAATGGCAACAAAATGGGTTGATGTGTAAAACAGTCTGCAGTATCATGCGCAAATCATGCGTAGGACCGCAAAATACGCCGCAAAATAAGGGGGAATTTTTGATGATTGATACTAGATCTTAGCAGCCAGAAAAGATAAAAATATGAAGCGAACGGTAAAGGCGATGTTTGGGCGAAGTCTCCCCAGCCCATTGGTGTACATGTAATGGACCGGAAATTGACCAATGTCTCTTCCCACCATTCATCCAAAATATATGCGTTCTTTGCGAACATTTTGATTACATTTGCTCAAGCCGTAAATTATGTGAGATCACTCGACGTCGTCGATAAAAATTTCTAAGCCTGCCAGGATCGGTGGCAAGCCGACTCTCAAGTCAAGCTATATGTGAGTGTGCGAGTATTATATTGACAGGTCTCCGCCCGACAGCTTTCATTTGCCGTCACCTTACTTGTTCCACACCGCAAAATATGTCTTACCGACCTTCACAAGCCTGTCGCCGGACCGAGCGAGTCTCAGCGAGCGAGTTGATTAAGCCGGAAATTTGTGTAAAAAATGCCCGGCCCAGCTTGACACAAGCGGCTCTATGTTTTGCGACCATCAATGGCAAAAAAGCTAAAGCTACGCCATGAAACGTTCATCATCAAATGGCACAGTTCTTGAAATATTGGACTGCAAGGTTTGCAAGGCATTTGAATGCAGGGCCTTTGATCAGGTGACATATCTTTGCAGCGTCGCAATATTACCAACATAACACCTACAGATTACTTTCAGCTTACGAAATAACTGAGCGCCGCATGTAGGCAAAACGTCCATATTCAGCGGCCAGGCACTGCGGCGAGATGAGGCTAACACACGCATTGATAACTTCTGTACATACTGTATCTCAAAATCGGCAGGCCTCACTCGTTTGCATTCGCGTATCATCTGCATGCTGATGATTACACCTGCGATCGCCCTGCTCCGCAAAAAAGTGTCTTACTGACTCGAAACAGGAGAGAGTTGAAAATTAAGGTGACAGTCGGAATCATTTCTCAATCCCTATGATCGGTCTAGTTCTGATGTCGTTGAACCCTCCTTGAATGGCAAACTCATGCGGTTTTGCTAACTTTGCGGAAGGTGGCGCGGATTCGTTCATCACCACCATTTTTCCTTGGGATGATTTTGGCTTATACAATGTAAATGCAAAACTAAGCCTTCGTTACATCTTTGTAATTTTGAAGTTTAGTTCTAACTTGGTGATCGGATGAATTTCTGGCATCAGTAGCCACGCCCAGATCACTTGGGCGCACGATGAAAGGTGCAAACTAACGTCTACTTTACGATTCCGCTCTTACGACTTTCATTCCAGCCTCGGATGGCCTATGCAGTTTTGCGACGCGTCAGCGACATGCGCTGATCGACACGACGACACGACACACACGACATCCCCGTGCTCTCCAGCCATGACAATGACTCCACTGCTTATGACACAGCCATGGGTGTACGGCCAGCTGCATGATGATAGTGCGTCGAAGCGAGCACAGCTTATCCTTACTTAGTAGCGTACACCACCGCAAAGCGTGGATCGCACCCAGCAACCTTCCGACGCCTTCCCTTCGCGTTTTTCTCCGTTTTGGCTTAACACGCAGTGTGCGTGCACTGGGACGGCTGGTCATCTCGTTGCGCAACTGACGCAGTCGGCGGCAGCCGAGTCACACAGGCGGCAGTCAGTCATCCCTGCCGAGCGTCCGGTTCATTGCGAAACAGCTCACTCACCCCAACGCACTGTCATGGCCAGCGCGAGAGCAGGCTAAGTCGTGATCTCATCCGGCTCACAGGCGTAAGCGGGGCAATATGCTGCACGCTTTCATTAGGCCTTGAAACGTGTGCTCCATCGCAACGGCGGCGTAATTTTCCATGTCACGACCACCGACGCGACAAATGCGGCGCCGACGACCGTTACTGTGACATACTTCAATCAAGAACCCTATGCTGAAGTAGTGGTTACGTGCACGCAAGTCCATCGGACCACGACGGTCCGAATTCCTGCGGTAGTAATGGGGGCATTAATCAGCAATACGTCATGTACAGTCCATAGAGGTTAACGTTAATCACCTCTTTACTCAAAGCGAGGCAAAACGGTGTGCTGTATGGGTTGTTGCATGGGCGCACTTCCGCAAAATAAGTTAGGAAGCTAAGCTGAGACACATGGCTAAAGATATCCTAATGAACGCAAAACAGTTTCATCAATATTTGACCCACTCTGTTCTTAAACTTGGGGGAGGACTGTCACTTCCCGAACTGAATAAGAAGCTGCTGTCGCGACCTATTGAACTTAAATGACATCGATTTTCTTTTAAAATGAACCGCTCAAAATTAGCAAAAGGAGCACGTTATTAAGTTTAAAGTAAACTGTCCTTACACAGGACAACACATACTACGAAGTGTTCACAATCACATTCACTGTTAGGAAAGGTGCAATAAAAAACGGCGCAAAGGATGAGGAGCTTGTCCACACCAAGGACGGATCCAGTGAGGAGCGAGTGGGCCATCGCCCATTTCCCTCTCCCACTGGGGCCCCCATGGGGTCCGGAGGAGCCCAGAGGTGCCAAACCGGGATTACACACGCAGGTATGCTGCACAGAGCGCAAACAATGAGATGGTTACGTGTCTTCTGCGACCAGTGGGAGCCACGAACGAAGATGACAGACCCAAGAGTAAACAAAAATAACTTATGACTTACTAAGATGGTCGTGTTTACGGCATTGGCTTACTACCAGGTTCCCTATACGTTGATGTGTGCACTATCACTCAGAGGCCTTACACGTTTAGTACTCTTGCCACTATCTCAGAGAGCACTGTGCTGCTGCCAGGAGGCCCCGTCCACGTGCCGCGGCACTCACGATAGATCTGGGGCGCTTCACACTTAACTTGGGTCCTTCTCTTTGGTTCGGGGGGCTTTGCACTATTGTCCGAGCCCCTCAGGCTGAGTCCCCTGTATGCTGACTTGCCCGCCATGCCGATCGCTCGAGGGCCTTTCACATTGGCTCCGGTTTATTTTATCTGGTTGGATGGTATTGACGTTTATCTTCATATATCTTTATTATGTATCTGGCTGTCGTCTGGGACCGCATATGTTAACATGTAAAATAACTCTCGAAAGTTCGCAGGACCACCTCAGGTTCTTTCCATTTCCATCTCGGAAAGTTGGGCTTTGCTGTCGGGAGCCTTAGTTTACCTGCCAGGCCTCTTGCGATCGTTATGGTGCCCTTGACGTTGATTTGGCACATTTTCATTTGCTCGGAGAGCCTTGCGCTGCGGCCGGGAACCCTATAAGATAACTTACCGCAACATTCAATGCTCAGGAGGCAGCTTTGCATTGGTTCCTTGGACGTCACGGATATTTCCAATCAATTTAACTTGCGGAGAACCCTACGTACTTTTCAACACTGTTAACCATAATGGGTGTTTCCCATTGCTCAGGGGCTAACCACATTAAACTTGAGCGCTTCCTTTTTCCTCAAAGCATCCCAAAACGCTGCTGAGGGTTTCTATGCTAGCCCGTCAAGGCACTCTCGATCGCTCAGGGGGTTTCACACTGGTCTGTCACGCTGTTTATCGGATTGGTCTTGCCCGTACACGTGCCCAGGCACGAGCCGCGCTTGCCGAAAACCCTGTACAACCTGCTGGGGCGTGGCCGATCATTCAGGGCTCCACTACACTAGTTTTGAGGCTTCTCGCTTGTTCGGAGTACCAGATGCTGTTGACGGTGTTATCCATAGGTGGCGATCAGTGCGTTATACCTTGAACGCTCAAGGACTATCTATTTTGGTCCCGATATTTTTGGATGCATTCGGCTTTGAACGCATTAGCTGTCACGTACAGAAACACCAACTACGGCCATGAAATAGCACGTCAATGTTTGCGTGTGAATGTGAAGATGCGTTCGTCTTAAGTTCAATGCCTGGTATTCCAGGCATTACTGGTACGTCTATCACCAGTCTTAAAGAGCTTAAATGGCACGGAAATCCATTTCATCATATCTACGACCCTGATTCGCCCGATTCAGTTAACACACCGAATGTACTTACGCAACCCGGCATCCGCGTTTCATCAGTGCTCACAATCCAGCACCACAAACTATTCGTGAAGTCAAAGTCGGTTCATTATTGCTAGTTCACGTTTTTCGGATTGGATTGCGCTAAATAGCACGTGAGCTTTGCCACTGTTAGAGTGCAGGCGGCAATCTCCTAAAGCTGCACCGCATGGGATGCTCAGTGGTTACTGGTGCATGGAAGTGAGCAACACTTCGACGTGAAAAATCGATCAGACAGGCATTACAAAAAGTGGAGAAGTGTCGCACCCATAACAGTCCTGGTTACAATCACCCTGGAATCATAAGTGCTGCCTTAGGTGGCCTGGCTCAGTCACCATCACCGTAAAGAACAGCGTCTATAACCTCGACGCTGACTGGGCATGTCCTGTGAAGCAGTTTTATGACAACGCGGCGCGCACTGTCGGTTCTGATGTCTCGCCAGTGGTGCCGTGTCAACTGAAATCTCAGACTATTCGTGGTGCTATAACAGCTAAGCCGTTTGGATATGAAGCTGGGAATTACCCTGGATGAGTCTGAAAATTACACCAGCGACATTTACGGATTAGAAGCAAGCTGTAGCACGTGTACAAATCTATTTCATAAATCGTTCTAGAGCTTTCTTTTCGCTACGTGGTCGTTATCACCCGCCTGCCCAACGCAGGCGAGTGATATGTCTCTTGTGATGTATCTCTTGATATATGCGAGTGATATGATATGCTAGCTGTAGCGCACCTTACCACGCGGCTTACGGAGACCGTAACGCCCTGCGTCAGAGTTCTTGTGCTAAGTTTGTCAGCGCGCGTTCTCAAAACCATGCATACGTTTAGGACGGTCTACAGGGCCTCCGGGCCCCACAAGCGCATGGAACCTTTCTGAAGAAACCTTCCCCAGTGGGAGGGGAATCCCAAATCCGCGCGCGGTTCACGGCAGTAAGTTTTCAACCTGGAACGGCCTTGCAATTGTGGGACAGTTTTGTACTGACAATTGCGACGACCTCGAGGGGAAACGGTCAAAAACCTTTCTCGTGTGGCAGCGTACGGTACGACAGCGTGGTTCAAAGCATATGGCTGTATGGCACCGGCAAAAGGCGTCCGAGCCTTAAAAGCCTCTCCTAACCTCAGCAAACAGAGCCAGGACCTTGCCGCAGGGTCCCCCAAGACGCAATCGGAAACTCTGAGCACGTCCGGTCAGGCCATCCGAAGCCAGGCAACGCGCACCGAACGACAGGGACGAGTGATGGGGCCGCGCTACCACATGTCCCGTGTCAGCCATCCAGTCACCCCACACCGAACGACAAGGACAAGTGAGAGGGCCGTGCTACCACATGTCCCGTGTCATCCATTCAGCTACCCCGCACCGAACGGCAGGGACAAGTGAGAGGGCCGTGCTACCACATGTCCCGTGTCATCCATCCAGGCACCCCGCACCGAACGACATGGACAACGGTGACGGAGCCACACTACCACACAGTCCATGCCAGCCATACCGTTCCAGTCGTAACGCGTGCAAACCGCTGCTGGCAGACACGGCACGGTACTCACGTGAGCATGGCTGCTCCCTTTGCGGCGGTGGCGGCCTATCACTACCCAGGCATCCGCCGGCACGCCCGGCTGCGCCACAACTGCGGAATGGCGGAGGCGGCTCGGCGGAGCGGCCGTTGGCGGCCTCCGGGCCGGCACTCTCACCTCGCCGGCCGCCAGGTGCCGGCGCTGCTCGGCCGCGCTGACGCCACCTGCCCAGCTCGGGCGCGCTGACGCCGCCCGCCCAGCTCGGGCGCGCTGACGCCGCCGCTGACGGCCCCCGCCCCCGGCTGCCGTCCGCGCGCCACTCCCGGCAAGACCCAATGTCAAGCCTCCCATGGGGGCATTGTGCTTCCCTCGCGGAGTGTTGCCGAGATGTTCGATGTGAATGTTGGATGACATGACGTGCAGTTAGCGCTGTTTTCTCTCCAGTCGTTTTTTCATGAGTTTCACTTTCCTTTTGAACGCTGCCGATGCCCTAGGACCGACAACGGAGGCCATATCTCCTAACCTGGCGGATATGCGTCCGACCAGCGGCCAGTGGAGGCAGTAAGCGGTCCCGTGTCTCGTGCTGCGGTCGCCTACTCACATCACGTGCTGGAGGCCGTACATGGAGCGTCAGTCGCCACAGGAAAGCGGTGCTCCCGCGCCCTAGTCCAAACACGTGCGCAGTAGGACGCCTCTGCGCCACCTGCTCCTGGTATGCAAGTATTATAGATATATCCTGGTACTTCTGGCATTCCAAGGATTTGCTGGAAGGTTGATTACACCTCGGCTTTATCGTCCCTAAAAATGCAATGTCTCGTGGTAAGACTTAGGCTTAATTCCGTTTTTGCAGCGCTCTCGAATTCCGAACTCTGATTCGCAGCACTTCTGAATTATTCTAACTCTGACTTTGAGCAAGTTTACGATAAAACCCACTAAGGGCCCTCTGGAAGTTCTCCAAGATGGGGATGCCGATAACCACAATTGGATGTTTCTTTCCAGGCAACCCCCATAGGGAAAGTGTTAACTCTTGCGGAACTATCGGGCCTCAGCCTCTTGGATCCTTGGTTTCCGTGCAACTGTAAACCTATATATATATATATATATATTATGTGCGTGTGTGTGTGTGTTTGTGTGTCTATATATATATATATATATATATATATATATATATATATATATATGTATATATGACTGATAATCAGACGCAAATAGGAGCAGAATATTCCTATCCGTGCATTTTGTCGCATCGAAGCTGTCCGCCACCCCGCGGATTGAGCTAAATTGGCCAGTGCCTTCGGACTTGAAAGACGTGATGAGATCGCCGAAACCCGGCTTCCGTGACAATCAACAGCGCAGCAATGACATCCACCACAACAGGGGAAACGAAAAACGGACCTTGCCTTCTGTTCCGCGCATCCTGGTTTGAGCTGGGCGCGAGCTTGTAAACATGAAGTCCGTCACGTCACGACAGACGTGACGCAGGTTTGCAGCGGAACGTGCCGACTGCAGCATGCAGCGCACAGGTGCAGCCGACGCCTCTGCTGTCGAAGCTTGCGTCATTTTCGTTGTGACGTAACCGAAGTTCACGTTTATAGACGCAGACAAACGAGTCCCTTAAATGCAAACATATGTAGCAACGAAATGAGAGCCTGCTGGGTGAAAGGGCCTCGCACTTCAATTTGGCCCTCTCCGGAGCGAAATCCTGGTTACGGCACTGTGCAGAACAGTAGTCCAGTGCCCGAAAGTGAACAGACAAACGCGTAGGCCTCAAATTTTGCAAATTGGATGTGACGCTGCGGCTGTTGCACGGAAAACACGTGGGGATTGAAAAACTTTGATTTCTGTTGCGGAACAGACCGTCGGGGGGGGGGGGGGGAATCTGAGGTCATCAGAAATCTGGACAATCAGGAATAAAGATCGCCGGACCGGTACATGGATGTGTGTGTGTGTGTGTGTGTGTGTCGTCAATTTTCAAGCTTTCAAAACATTAGGAGGCAATTGGCTCTGTAACCGTTTTTTGCTCGCAAAGGGTGCAAAAAGCCCGTCGCTTTTATGCCTCATGTCTAGTCCAGTCACGTTTATAACACAAACAATGGCAGCGCCACTGTCATTTTCCAAAAGCTCAAAAGATCAGATATAGCGGCCACTGAATCGGATTGGGGGGGCCTCACAAGCAAACATCTGCATATTTTTTCCTTGCATTTTGAGAGGATTTCTTAGGCATATATAACTGAACAAAATCTCCTCCGATCATTTTCGGTGGTACCTCCGATCATTCTCGGTGGTGCCTCCGATCATTCTCGATGGTGCCCCCGATCGGAGCCTTTCCATAGACTGGATAAGTTTACAGTGTTTTTCACGGGGCCCAAGCGTCTGATCACGCGTTGTTTCGACCAGCTGGTGGCTCCTGTCGACCAACAGGGCCTGGTGTTGGCCATACAGGGCCTCCCACGGCGCGGAAATCTTCTCCTGCGTATCCGGTCTTCCGTTCGGTCTTACCGACGCTGATGCTCCACGCGGGGAGTTGAATTCCACGTCCGCCTCCCTTGAGATCTTCGGAAGCCCCATTAGAAAGCACTATATTTTTATGTTGAAAAAATGGCGTCTGATTTCGCTCGACATGATTTGCACTTCCTAAGACAACCCAATAATCTGCACTAAGTGTCAAATGGGGGGGGGGGGGGGGCAAGGACGCAGACGATCTGAACATTTCTTTTAAAACTCAGTTTCTTCAATCATTAACAAACTCAGATTGATAGATAATGATTTCGAGATACATATATTGTGGCGACATTTCAAAATTTAAGAATTCGTTAACATATTCAAAGGAAGGTACGAAACATGGAATGATGATACCAAAATTCTAAACACAGGTGCATGCTACGCGTAGTGCGGCCACAGCGTGGTGCGTTGCGGGCTGCCCATGTGTCAGGGGCGGCCAGCCAACCCGTGCCCTCGGGCACCACTGGGTCGGAGCACTAAGTGGGCGAACGGTGGAGCCAGCGAGTCCAATGGTTTGTGCGACCCATTTGTGCGACCCAAAGCCACGCTCAGTCCACACGACGGGTGGACTGAGCGTGGCTTTAATACAGTGACACCCTGAGTTAGGGTGTGATTGGCCACGCCACATATATATGGTGCCTATATTGCATGCAAAGGACAGGTGGCATAGGCGTATCCAGTTTTCAAAACAAGGGGGAGGAGCGTATGATTCAAATAAGGGGAGGAGGATCTATTGCCGCCGATGCCGGCTGACGGCTCGTTGTTGGTGGCCACGCCTTCTGCGTACTGCAGCTCAACTCCCCTTCGTTGTTCCTGCGCTGGACTCTGGCATAGGTTAAGATGCTGTTAAGTGTACAGAAGGAAATGCTGAAATGAAACATTCCATTTCAGGCCTTCATGTTTCAAAGGCCATGGATCCTTCTTACTTCAGCGTCTAGAGACGCCTCTGCGCAAACATGTTTTGCTTACTTCCAGGAAAGAACATGAAATGTTATCAGGTAAAAACAGGTTTTTTCCGATCTGCACGTGCGAATATTTTCGCACCTTATTCATGCATAGCACCGCATTGTCAGTATACGTTTGAGGTGATGCTCCTTCGCACGCTCTTTGGCAAAACTTGAATACACTTCTCACCATGCATATCATTTGCTTTTTCAACTTTGCTCTCAGTGCATAGCTTTACACTTAGACGCCGAATCGCATCTTGTGTATGTCTGCATTAGCGACCTATAATGCACTTCCCAGTCAGCATTCCCGCATGGGCCCGCATGGGCTAAACGTGGGAAAACTGGGTTAATATGGGCACGGGCTACACATGGGGGTTCTAACTGGGCTCCTGCTGGGTCCCACATGGCGTGCCCACATTATGTCATATTTTTACATGCACTAGAAATGTTGGTGCCTTGTACTGTCCCGTCGGAATTCATCACATCAAGAAGGAATAACTCGCGACGGGGGAGCGCCTGCGTTGGTGGGAGCCATGCGGGCCATGTGCGGACAAGCTGGGCTCATGTCAACATGGGCTGCAGGTGGGCTGGTATCTAGGCTTGATCTGGGGCCCAGATGGGCTGCCCATATGTTACATGCGTAATAAAGTTGCCACACACAGAATACTGGTGTGCATACCAGTTGTTCCCATTGTCTTGGACTTATCGTGCACAATTACCCCAAAATATGGGACTGCTGCCTAGACTGGAGTCCATATGGGCTGAGCACCGGCTAGCTGGGCTCAAGTCCATGTAGGTTGCGGGTGGGGTGGTATTCAGGTTCCACTTGGTACCCAGATGGGTCGCCCATACGCTACTGTAGTCGGTGCAGGTGCATTAGGCTTGTTGCTTTGTGCTCCCGCGTTGAATTTTTCCTATCATGTAGAAATGAGTACATAGCAAAGGAGAGCAGCACGGGTTGGGGCTCATATGGGATGTGTGTGGGTAAACTGGGCTCATGTCAACATGGGCCGCATGTGGGCTAGTATTTGAGCTCCATGATGGGCTACTCATATGTTAGATATGCAACAAGTTGCCACCTACACGATTATGTGGATATCAATTGTATTTACTGTATCGACTTTTTGCCATATTTTGTGCAATTATTTTACAACATGGGACAACCGGCTGGACCGTTGTGGTTCGTTCGTCGTGGTTCGGCCCGTATGGGGTTCATATGGGATGCATGTGGGCAGTTTGGGCTGATGTCAACATGCGCCGCAGGTGGGATGGTCTTTGGGCTCCATGTCGAACCCAAATGGGCTACCCATATGCTGACGTATTTTACCCTAGTGCAATATTTTGTATGCTTTGCTCTCCACGGTTGGATATTTTCTGATCGTGTACAAACTAGTTCGCAACGAGGGTGAGCGACACAGACTCGGATCCAAAAGGGTCGCAGGCGGGCAAGCTGACCACATGCCAGCATGTGGTGCAGGCGGGCTGTTGCCTGGGCCCCATCAGGGACCCAGATGGGCTGCCCATATACTACCATCTTGACTATGTGCGCAATAATTTTCATCCCGCCTGTTTCCTGGCTCAGTTTTACCATGCCATGCACAAATAAGAGGGACAGCTGGCATGGCTCTCACCCGCATGGGGTGCGCGTAGGCGAGTTTAGCTCACGT